TTTTTTTTCTAAAACTTTTTTTCTAAATATTTTTTTTCAAATTTTATTTCGTTATATTTGTTTTTTCTAAAATCTTTTTTTTCTAAAATAAAATACCTTTACTTAAGCACAGCTCCACCAAAAGTACACAAATATGTATGTGTGTATAAACATAAACTTGAATGTTAAGACTTTATCCTAACGATATACGAACAAACATACATGCATACATACATATGTATATCAGCTCACACATTATAGTTCAATTCAAATGCATTTCTACAATAGTTAGTTACGATTTTATTACAACAATATGCCGACAAACGAATTTCCTATTTAGTATATAAACAGTAAACAAACGCAAAAGACAACAAAATCACAAAGTAATAAGCTAAAAAATAAAATTAAATGAAATGAACTGCAGCTGGTGACATTTTGCGAAACCTTAAATACAAAAATACATACACATACACATACATACATACATATGTATGTGTATATTGTACAAAGGCAAATAAATTGTAAAAAAATGTGAAAACTCATGCATACATACATATATACTTATGTACGTAAAAGTAATAGAGGCAAAGAAATTAACAGTTCATAAGTATTAAAATATATTTAAATATGTTTTTTTTTAACACATTTGAAATAACTTACCACAAATTTAGCGAAATATAAATAATACTAATTAATACATAACACCAAAACTCTCAACTGCCACTAAGAAAATAATGATTTCAACAAAACTAAAATTAAACAAAAAAATTGAAAACAATGTACGAAGATATTTGCTTTAAGTAACAAATGTTTTTCTTTTTAATTCTTAATGCTAACGCTAATGGTTTGCAAGTTGGTTGCAATTTCAGCCCTATGCGCAAAAAAGGTTTTAATAATTTTTTTCATAAAATGTTTATTTGAAAAGTTATACGCAGTTGAAGTTATATTTCAAATGTATTCAAATAGGGACACCATTGCGTATGAGTAGCACAGGTGATTGAAGCACGGTTTAAATGGAAAATAGTTTATTTTCGATGGACCCTTTATTTTAGTGCAAAAACTGAAACTTCAGTGAATAAAAAAACGTTAGCTTGGGGAAACAACGGTCACCCTAATATATATAGATATATGTATGTAGTATATCGTATAAGCGCTTGCAGCTATTAAACTACTCTTTTTAAACAATTTTATTGCCCTCGACTGCGCAATTATGTATAAATATTTATTCTGTTTTGCATTTTCGTCTTCGGGTTACTTATGTATATACATACATACATATACATATGTATAGTACTATTATATGTATATATATTTTCAATTAATTTTGCATTTTACATATGAGTTCCTTTGAGCAACACGAACTAGAACCATAAAACATACATACATACATACAAACATGCATACACACACACACACACACACATGTACACTCAAGTGAAGCTAGCCTAGTTTTAAAGTAATTGCAAATCATAAGTAAAAAAAACAACAACAACAAATACAAAATAAATAAACAATGTAACTGCATTTTTGTTTCCTATTAAACTACATAAATACATACATGCTATAAATACAACAAATACAAAAGTAATAGTTAATTTAAATACGAGTACGAGTAGCTAAATGAATTTAATTATTTATACGATTTTGTTTTATAATATTTGTTTTTTTTTTTTTTATGTATTTGCTGGTTTATTAAGTTAGTATCGTTCCTACGAAGACGTAAACATTTTGGTAATAATGTCACTTGCAACGATAAAAAGTTGAAATTACAAATTTTTTGTGTTACTAGTTGAGTTACCGTTAGAAAAATAAAATTTCCAACAAGCGGCTAATACGATGAAGGCAAGCACACGGTTTAGCACCGCCTGAGCATGGTCACTGCGACAGCTTGCCTTCARAAAATACTTTATGCCACGACAACAACAACAAAACAAGCGTGTAACCGTGAAAAATGCGATTTAGTCGAAGAAAATGCATTTCGGAATTGCAAGCGATTTGTTTTGTATTGAAATTTGCATTAATACGCATACAAAATATTTTGAACTCAACATACACGCATACATTTTCACCTAATGCATACACGCGCTGGTGTTTACATTCAACTGATTATTGAAATTAGTATTAAGTTTTTGCGTAAATTAAGTCTTAGCGTAAGCAAAACAGAATAAATGCAACTATTATTCATTAATATTATTGTTGTTGGCGTGAAGTGAGGTTACTTTCTAGTTTGTTAGATGCATATATGTATATGTATAAGTGCAAATATATAACAACAATATAACAGCTGACAACAAGATTGTATATAAAGAAAAAAAAAAAAAAATGACAACAAAAAAACAATCGTTATGCGTTAAGCGTCATTCGAACATAAATATGCAAAAAATGAGAGCAGAAGAAAACGATTGATCGAATCTTAAACTTAATAATTAAAACAAAAAAAATTATATAAAAATGTATTACTATGTACTCTAATACATACATATATAATTTGTAGCCTGCTATGAATGCCAGCGTAGGCCCAATGTAACAATAGTTTAAAGAGTTATCCTAATAGTTGATTAAAACGTCAAGCTGTATTTGTAACGAAGCATATATATACATATGTACATGCGAAGTATATATATACATGCATATATATATAAAGTATATACATAAATAACTACCTAGTAATATGCTAAAAATCAATTCATATTTATTATTTCACAACTAAACTAACTGTACAATATTTAGGTGATCTATGAACTAAAGAAAAAAGTAATAAATACAAACATACATACATACATATATAAATAAATTATAAGTGAAATACATTGCGTTGTCGCAAGAAGAAAATTACCGAAACTTTGTGTTTTCCTTTTAAACGCTTGGAATATTGACAGAAAGACAGCAGCACATCTGCATTTTGAATTGGCAAATGCATAATTGTCACTTATTATATATTGTGACAAAAAAGTACCCAGGAATTGTAATTGAATTCGCCGGGTTAATGATAATTCATAAAACAAATGACAATGCCAAATATGAGCGTGATCCCTCAACCAGTTTGCTTACAGCAGCTGCTTAAGTCGGTACACCTCAGTAGTGTCTTGCGATTTTGGCGATGGATATAAATATCGAACAAGAGTTTGTCTCAAATTTTGTATTTCTAACCAAATTTTGTTCGGCTATAACGGCGTAAGCGATTTATACGCCAGTAAACAAGAATAACCAAATTATATGTGCGGAATCGTTGCGAATGTTGGAAGAGGCTTAAGTTGATTCAGTTTTATCAAAACACAAGCCTACGAGGGGCGTAAAGCCTTCAAAGACGGTCGAGAGATCGTTGAAGATCTCTCAAGTGTTACAAAGATGACAAGAATTCGAATAATTTTGGTAGATATTTTGGGTATGAAAAGTGATTTCTTTCAATAAA